ATTTATTGATAAACATGTTTCGTTTTTAATTTGTTGGTAAATCTTTTGGGCACACCTCGATCTGGAGAAGGGGCATTTCGTTATTCCGCTTTGATCACTGCTGATGCCTCCTATAAGACCTATAAATTCTAGTGAAGCTAAATAACAACAGGAGCTTACTTTTGGCAAGATTCCACGTCTCATCAAGAATAATATAGGAAACTAGCGAAAGTGCGAAATGCCGCACAAGCCAAAGCTTCTTTTATTTGGTTTTTTTTTCTGCTTATTTGCTGTTGTTCTACAACTTATTCTTGTACTTTGTTCATCAATAAAAGCCATTTTCCGATACGATCATTTTTTTAGGTTGGTACATTCAGTACATTGACCAAGAAGAAGTGCTAAGGAAAGCAGAGGAGGCCAAGCGAATGAAAGCAGAGAAGGATGATGAAGAACGACAGCAAGAGATGATCAATGCCCAAGTCCGCAGGTTTGAATTCATCATGTTCCTTGTTCAGGGCTCTCAGCCCTAATGATTTGTTATCTATCTAAGTTCGGGTCCAATCAAAGTTTTTAATAGTTCCTCGTTTGTTCCATGAGCTTACAAGGGAATGGTTTGAACTTCCCATGGAACTTTGAATGGAGACCTAGGTACATCGATAGAGCCTCGAATGCTGATTACGAATATGCAGATTAAAAGTGCTACGGGGACCTCCCAGACGAGATCTGGGTGGTCAAAGTTTGAGTTCTGGCTCGTAAGCGCTGCTGATCGATGCCTCGGCAGTGCCACCGTGGCCTCGTGGTAATGGTCTCGCTTTCAAGTCAAACGCATGCGGGTTTGCATCCGGTTGGCGCGAAAATTTTTGCTTCGCTCCGTATAAGAGCTTCAACTCTAATTTTCGAAATTCTTCCGAATTTACGGCCCAGCAGGGCAAGTAGATCAAGTACATCAAGTATACGACGTACTCGATCTAGTATGGATTTGGTCAGATCGTTTTTTCGTCGAAGGATGTGATATTCGTGTTCAGGGGGTCGAAATCTCCCATGAACGAATTTCTCGCTAAAACTTTGAATTGTCGGATGGGTAATATGTTCAGAGGGCAGATATGACCAAATCCATACTAGATCGAGTACGTCGTATACTTGATGTACTTGATCTACTTGCTAAATTCGGAAGAATTTCGAAAATTAGAGTTGAAGCTCTTATACGGAGCGAAGCAAAAATTTTCGCGCCAACCGGATGCAAACCCGCATGCGTTTGACTTGAAAGCGAGACCATTACCACGAGGCCACGGTGGCACTGCCGAGGCATCGATCAGCAGCACGAGCCAAAACTGGCTTTCGCAAACTTTGACCACCCAGATCTCGTCTGGGAGGTCCCCGTAGCACTTTTAATCTGCATATTCGTAATCAGCATTCGAGGCTCTATCGATGTACCTAGGTCTCCATTCAAAGTTCCATGGGAAGTTCAAACCATTCCCTTGTTAGTAGGGGATCAACTATCTCGAATTTATTTTAGATCCCTTATAGCTTTGTTAGCGGCGAATAGATGGCTACCATTCCAGAGCATTAGAACAGCAGGGCGAAGTATATGAGCCTCAAGCAACCGAACTCATAAGATCTGATGAAAATGAGAAGATCACGTTGAATCTGAATTTGGATAAGAAACCAACGGTAGAGGTGAGCATCAGTCGTTGTTTCAGCTTGCTTCCTTTACTTTAAAACTTTTTGGTTTTGTTTATTCGGTCATTGGTTTTCGATGCTGGTTTTCCCATTTCATGTACGCAATTACCACCCTCCCTTCATAGACATCAGTTTTTTCTGGGAGGGGACTTGAAGACTGGAAGAAGATTAGCAGGGAGGAGAATTTTGGAATTCCTCCGGAACCTGGGAAGTTGTCAGGTAATATGGGGGGAGGGCGGTACCTGAGGTGGAAAGTACGAGGGGGTAATATTTTGCAAGTTTTTCCCGACGGTAAACGTGCCATAATGACCAATTTTGAATGCTTTAGTGCTTTTTAGCGGAACGCCCCTGTTAGAATAACGCCCATATGACTTTTTTATTGTCTTGAACTTTTTTTCTTTCGCTTTAAAAAAATAATATTTGGCGACTGGTCACCTCTTTGTCATGGGAGTGTTGAAGCTGATCTAACCTTCTACATCTCTTTGTTGCTCTTTTGCAGGATTTGAAGCGACCTGTATTCACCGGGGTGTCAGTCTTTGACCAGATAAAAACGAAGAAAGAAGAGCCAGCAAGTGATGAAGAAAGGCCTACAACAAGCCGACGAGATCGAAGCAGAGACAGGGAAGAAAGGCGCGATCGACGAGATCGCGATGCGAAGAAGGAGCACAGGAGTCGTAGTCGAAGTCGTGACAAGGAAAGAGATCGTCGAGATCGTGACATGAAGAGAGAGCATAGAAGTCGTAGCAGAAGCCGTGAGAGGGAGCGAGATCGACACACGGGAAGTGCGTTTTATTATTTGTTCTAATTAAAGACTAATTTACATGAGGGAGCTGTGCGGCTTGGGAGGGGGATCTTGCGCTTTCGAAAAATTTGTTTTGCTAATTCCTGTCAAACTAAAGTCAGAACCTGTTGAAACTTGTAGACTTTTCTGAGTGTGTAACAACAATGTGAAACTCCAAAAGTTTATTCCAAAAAACTCAAAAGACAGTGAAAGTCTCAAAAGTTTGTTATAATATATCTTAACTTGCAATATTTCGGTGCGTAGCACCTTCGTCAGGCCTGAAAATATTTAGCTTGTTTTGTTGGTTATACAAAGTGCAACCCGCACGGACCCCCCCCCCACCAAGCCAGTTACCTGACATTAAATGATCAACCCACCCCCAACCATGCCTTTGTGGCGGATTTGTGTGGCGGGAGTGTAGATGGCCGGTGTAGAAGGCGAGGTGAGAGAAGTGAATTGTTTATTATGAACAACCGCCCCCTTTTATAGGGCAGACAACACAACAACCATTTATCACTGTATTTGTTGATGATCATAGTCTTCTCAGGAATAACACGGTCGCTTCGGTAAGGTTCATAGAGAGAGATTCTCTATACTCCGGGGCGGGCGTTCTTGCAGGTTGTCGTCTGATTCGTCTCGTGATGCTTTTGCTGATGGTGATTTCGCTCTGTGCTGTTGATTATTGTTCCTTCTTGCAATCGGTGGTTCTTTCTTCGGTGGTTCAGTGATTTCAATGTCTTCTCTGTCTTCTGATTGATTTGCTTACATTGAGTGTTCTGACGCGGTCTTGGATTGTAGTGCTCGTCTTGCTTTCGGTGGCTTTTGAGGCTGGTTGTTTCCTCGTGGTCGTTTCCAGTTGTTGTTGTTTCTGGAGCAGCTTCTTGGAGCTGTACTTCTGGAGTTGTATCAGTGCTTCTTATGTTCCATGTAATCCCGAGGATTTCTACTTCTTCAGATTGGTCCGCCGGTGTGATTTCGTTCTTCAAAGGAGTGTTGTTTGTTCGAAGTTGTCTTGAGTTTATATTGAGCTCGGTGAAGATTCTCTTTGTCTTGTAGAACTTAGGCTTCATTCGTTGAAGATGCTGTCGATATGAGGTTGTCGACGTGGATATTGTCCTCTATGTTCTTTGTTAGTTCTTGATCTTCTACCATCGTCTGTAGTTGTTGACTGATTGTTCCAGCGAGCAGGAACGGAGAGCAGTTCAGTCCAAACGTGACGTGAGTGAATCGATATATGACGATCTGATTTTGAGTGGGTGGGTCATGGATGTTCTGAATCCACATAGATCTGGTTGCACTTCTATCCAGTGGGTGTAGGTGAACTTGCAGGAAGGCCTTCTCTACGTCGCTGGTAATGATTGCTGTTTCTCCTATTCTTAAGCGATGTAAGTTGTCGCATATTTTCGGAAGGTTAATTGGACCTTGCGTCAAGACGTCGTTGAGCGATCGAGAATTCTCAAGGTGTGCGGATGGATCCAATACGATTCTGGGTTTGGAAGTCGTTTTCTGAGGAGTAATGACTGCATGATGCGCTGAGTAGTGCACAGCTTGTCCTTCAAGACTTCGCTCTTCACTGACTTCTTCGACTACTCTCTTTTCCAAATGGTTCGTATCATGGTAGTGTTGCAGTACGGCTTCATTTTTCGGTAAATGAATCAAGTTAGCCTTTAGAGGTACATAAGCGAGCTGTTTGTCGTCCGGTAGTTGACTGACACTGGTTTTCCGAAGGAAGGCATACGTAGTCACTATCTTCTCGTTTCTCGCTATTTTCTTCGAATGTTTTCCGGATTGCTGCGTTCGTAAACCTTCGCTCTTCGGAAGAGGGTCCAGTGAATTCGCGAGTGCCTGTTCTTTCAAATTCGAAAAATTGTTCCCATGCTTGTTCTAGACTCGACTGTGCTTGGGAATCCTTATACTCAGTTTCTCTGTGAGTGCTCTGAACAGAAGTTTCCTCGACATCTCTTTGTTTTGCAGCTCTTCGTCCTGACACGTCTTCATGTGCTCGTGTGAAAGGATTCAGAACTTGAGCCTGTCCGACTAGAATTTGGGTTTCCAACTTATCTTCTGTGTCGCTGGCATGCTGAGCGCTATGTGGAGCTGGTTTCAAGGATTCAGTAAGATTTCGCTTCGTATGGATGAGGGACGCTTGACCGGTTGAGGCTTCCTGGAGGTATCGGATGAGGTCTGTTTTTGGCGAAGTAACTGTCTGGTTGTTTGGGAGGCTCAACTTTCTACAGATAGAAGTATGATGGCCTGTTTCTCTGCATATACTACAGGCTCCTCTTGTGCAGACTGAAGCCTTGTGATCCCTTCCGCCGCAGTTATGGCAGAGTTTTTGTTGCTTCATAATCTCAAGTCGCTTCTCCAATGTTGTGGCTTCGTTGCAGTCCCGTGGTTTATGTCCACTTTTCCCGCAATAGAAGCAAGAGTTCTGACGAAACTGGCGAGGCGTAGTTTCGTGAGGGATGTCTGACATCGTCCGTGTGGTGTCACTGGTAGTCCATTGTTTCATTTGGTGGGATATTCGGATCTCATCTTTGATGTATTCTTTCGCCGCTAATAGTAGCGATTGGGTGTCCCATGTGCCGTCGGCCTTCTGTTTTGACTTTTGCCGGAGGATGTATCTTTGGACGTCAGGTGAGAACTTGCCAAGTAGCTGTTTCTGTAGAAATACGTTATCAACGTGCTCGTCCTTGATTCGCAGTTGAGAGATGATGGAATCTAGTTT